ATAAATTATATTTTGTTATTACTTCTTTTCTTTTTATTTTTTATTTTTAAATTAAGATGCTTAATTCTTTCATCTAAAAAAAATTAAACCAATCTTTTTTCCTTAAAAATAAAAAATATAGTACCAGTATAACTTTATGCATCTTAAATTATATATAAAATATTATGCATTTCCCAACATAAAAGAAAATAGGTACCAGTATAACTTTATGCATGTCTTTTCCCCTTTATTTTATTATTATTTTTTTTCCTTTTTATGTTGGAAAATGCATAATATTTTATATATAATTTAAAATGTATTAAGTTATACTGGTACCATATTTTTTATTTTTAAGGAAAAGAGATTGATTTAATTTTTTTAAATGAAAGAATTAAGCATCTTAATTTAAAAATAAAAAAGAAAAAGAAAAGAAGTAATACCAAAATATAATTTATTTGAAATATATGTATTGGATCAAAAAATTATTTTAAACGTCTACATTTTTAAGAAGTTGGGACATTTATAAAGTAAATAACAAAAAAAAAAAAAAAAAAAAAAAGTGAACAATATAATTTTTTTTTTGTTACTTTTTTTTTTTTATGCATAAATTGTTCATGAGGGTAGATTGGTCCAATTTATTAAATTGTAAAGTAAAAAAAGTCTCCTAAACGGTCAAAGGGTAATTTGGTAAATTTCTCATGTAAAGGGGGGTGTCTTTGTCTATTTTTGAACATTCAGGTGGTGTCTTTGTCCATAAAACATGTAAGTTTCATCTGTGTTCTTTTGCCAAACCTCAGGGAGTATGGCTGTACTTCACCCTAGTTTTTATGATTAAACTTCATCATAACCCCACTTGGTCATTAAATTACTCACCATCGCGATTCTGCCAGAGAATGAAATCTCAAACAAGCCTCGACCATTCCCGGAGCTATAGTCCACCTTCCATGGCTATTTTGACATACTTTCTCTGCGACGGTGCTCCCCAATACTCAGTCTTCGATCTATGGTGAAGATGGGTCGTCTCACCCACGACGGCGAAACTGACAATGCAAGGAGCACCATCGGTATTGATTAATGGCTCTTTGGGTTTGATTGGGACCAATACGTGATGTCAATCTACGGCGATGGTAGGCGATGACAGGTGGTGGTAGTGGTGGTGACCACGGGTGGTAGTGGCGGCGATGCCGCTGCTCTCTTTTTCCCTCTGCTCTTCCATACATATATATACTAGAAAAATGAACGTGCATTGCGCGTGAGGAGAAATGCTTGTGAATATTTTAATTTTGTTTTTCAAATAGTGCATACACACACACACACACACACACACATATATATATTCTACTTTTCCTTTCTAAAAATTGTTTTAGTAATATAACTTTAAACTAAAACAAATACTAAAAGTTACAGTAATGTTTTCTTTGATCATGTCAACATATTTGAAAAAAAAAAAAAAAAAAAAAAAAAAGGAGGTACGTCAACATATGTAAGTTTACTTTTACTAACCATGTATCTAAAAAGGCCGAACTTATAAAATTGTAATAAATTTTTAAATAAAAGGTGTCTGAAATAAATAAAAAACACGATAAGACTTTTCAAGAAATTTGTATTAGTATATAACTTTTCTAAAATATGTTTGAAAAAGGATAATAATAAAATTTCAAATATTTTTTAAAATAAATTTCTTTTAGTGTTTTCAATCTAACGGTAATAAAATTCAAAAGATTTTTTTTTTTCTTTAACAGATTTGAATGTATGTTGTTTTTCATTGAAAAGTTACATGTTAATGTTTTCATAAACCACAGGACATTACAACAAGGCTTTGAATCTAATTAGCTATAGCTTTTTAATCCCTCTCTGTATACCTCCTATGTTTTTTTCTTTCCAAAGATTCTTCTCTATACAAATTTTTTTTCCCAGTAAAAGAGTTGAATGAAATATTTTTTTATAGTTTTATGACTGTAGGTTTGTATAGTGGTAAAATTTAAAATAGTGGGCTTAATTGAATTTAGGAGTTTCTGAGAAAGAAAAAAAAAAATTGATGGATGCTCTGAGATGGAAAATGGTAACTTATATAGATGAGTTTGAACACAATCAATGAATGATGTTATGCTGAAATACAACAATGGTGTTGAATAATTATACTCACATAAGGACTCCTACATATCACCGATAGCTTGTGCCAACTCCGAATTAATGGTAGAAATTGCTCTAGGCGATGTCCTTTTGTGTGTTTAGATCTGGGTTTTCTAATGACAAACATATTCTGAAAATTTGTTTCTATCATGTTTATTCTGTCATATTTTATTTCATAGGTGCTTTATTGTTTCTGTTTTGGAACTCTGTTCCATTTAGTTGTTTAATTTGACTTAAATTTTGAATAGAACAATATTTGTTTTGGAGTAAATTACTTTTAAGGTAATTTTGAATTTTATGTCTCTAATTTTATTAATTAATGTTAGGGATAGGAATATGTTGAAAAATAGTAGAAAGTCACGTCTGTTAAAACTGTTTTCATTTTGAATAAATAATAATAATAATAATACTCATTTTAAATTTTTGTTACGGTTGAATTAAAAATAGTAAAAAGTCAGAAAGGCATGGAACTATGTGAATCATTCACTATTAACTCACTAAGTAACATCAATATCAATTTCATATCCCCTTTTGAAAGGAAAGCCTTGCCAAGCTTACGTTATAAGAACTGGCACGAAATTGATCCATATAGATTTTACATCCCAACCATAGAGAGAAAACCTTCTCCACTCTCGCCGTTCTAATTGCTTGTCCTCTCTAAACATATTCAATCATCATCTTGTTTATCTCTTCCTAAGTAGGCAAGCACTGTCCTAACTTTCTAACTTATCTGTAGAGCTTTGATATATCAAAAAAGTGATGTCTCTTATAATCAAGGTTAAATGAGTTCTAACCAAAGGATATAACTTTTACAATTATATTATAACTGGTGTTTTAGTTTCACTAAATCACACATATAGAAGACACGACATTTCAAGTATTGTATTAAAGGGTTAAAAATTTTAAACCAAAATTTTAAGACTCGGACTGAAAAATAATACATACTTGATAGATGCCGTGGATGATTACCGTCATAGTTTTGACACGATATTCTAATTTTTGCATCCAAAATAATTATTATTATTTTTTTAATTCTAAAGAAAAAATGTAAAAAGACTTGGATGTTAATTTTGCCCGATCTATGCAAAACAAGAAACAATGTTGAAAAATAATAGAACTATTACCTCTCAATGGTGCAACCTAAAACAGATGTAATCATAAGCTAAAAGTAAAAGCAAAAGTTGTATGGCTTTTTTTTTATCAAAAAGGTTAGAAATTGGTTGGTATAATATTCAAATTAAAACTTACCTTCAAAAAATGAACAGGTGTTGATTAAATTTGATCAAATTTGTACCGAAATTTAAATTGAAACATACCTTCAATAAAAATAAAGCTTGAGTCATGCACTTCAATCAAATACGAATTTTCTTGGAAATGTTTGAAGTTGCAATAGAACATAGAAGATATTTTTTGTTAACAATTTATAGAAAAGAGCCAGAGAGATAGAATGACAGAGAGAACTTTGAATGTCAACCGCCCTTTATATAATCTTGAACCGATGTGTGTGTTTAGACATCAAAATCCAGCCGAATAGATGTAAAAAAAAAAAAAAAATGTGTTGCGTCGATTTTATGTTTAATTGAGAGAAACTCCTTTTAAGACAAGAACTCTTTGCAAAAAAAAGAGAAAGGAAAGTAAAATATGGAAAAAGAAAAGTGACGTTAATAAAGAGAAATATTGTAACTCTTTGAAAACGATAACGTCGGTATAATATTTTTGTAAATTAAAGATATTATTTAAAAATGTATATAAAAAATCAAAATTGAATACACTTTTATAGAGTATATATATATATATAGTATATATATATATATATATATATAAGGGCAAATTTGACTTTTCATGAGTTCATATTGAAGGGCAATTTTGTATTTTCTAACATTTTAAGGACTTGTTTGGATCAAAATTATCACAGAGGTGTTTTTGTCCAAAAAGTAGTTAAGTTGTATATAACTATCAATATATCAAACCTTAGGGGGTAGCATTATAATTAACCCAAAAAGTTAACTATGGGTGATGTGTATTTTTATTGTAATATAAATAACACATGACTTTCTATAATTCATTCGGATCACATTTGAGGTGGTGGGTACCAACCACCTAATAATTTTTCAAAGGAGATACAAATCTTTTAAAAATTGTTGGAATGTTATACAAATATTAATATGTACAATAACAAGAAAATGAAAAAAAATTATTTTGTAATACTCAATAAGAATTTGACTAGTAATATTTGATAGGAAAATAATTCTTGCACCGAATAGTTACAGGAAATTGTTAGACTTACTCTTTAAATTGGTCATTTATGCAAGAAATAAGGAAGTGGAGCTCTCCACTTAGTTGTATTTGATATAAATAGCGAATTAAAAATTTTTCGGTTAGCTCCACTTAGTTATATTTTGTATAGATAGCGAATTAAAAATTATTCCGTTAGGCAATTCAGTACAAGTATTCGGTGTGAGTATTACTACTCTATCCCGTAATGCGAAATGATTGAGAGTTCAATAGTTAGACATTTTCTACTAATTTTATGTGAGTAACTATTAATATCATTATGACATCTTGAATATTAATGATATCAATTCTCACTTACATAAATTAGTTAAATTTAGTCCAACTTTTAAACCAAATCGTTATCCTTTTAGAATTTTACTCAATTACCTACAAAATTAAGTGAATTGAGTAATATGAAATGAATGAAGCATCTGATTCCTGTGTCACGCCCAACTCACCTAATCATGTAAAAAGTCATCTCATTAATACATGATAGGGTTAGAATATCTATATTTGCATGTTTGTAGGATACATTTCTTGCTATTAGTTGTCATTTTGTAGAAAAGCACCACCAATGTTGGCAACCTTTCCTGAGTTTCAAGATTTAAATTGGTAGTATTTTATTGTACCGAAAGATTTCCCAAAATAAAATAATTTATTATTATTTGTAAATAGCAAAACGACAAGGAAGAAGAGCATAATGGGAGGTTACTGGCTAAAAAGCTTCCATTAAGTTTTGGTTTCTTTCCATTAAATCACCTGCTTAACTACTTTTTAAGCTCCAAAAAAAACAAATTCAGACAGGAATCAGATGAATGGCTTCCTAAAAGTGGATATCTGATTTCAGTTTCTGCTTATTATAGAGAGAGAAAGATGTCTGACCTAGAGTTTCTTCTATTTCTTCTTCTATCAATCTTCTCTTTGCTTCTCATCTTCAATCTCATCAACAAAAAGCAAAACAATACTCTCAATCTTCCACCAGGCAACATGGGCTGGCCTTTTATTGGTGAAACCATCGGCTATCTCAAGCCATACACAGCTACTTCAATAGGTGAATTCATGGAGCAACACATATCAAGGTAACTCTTTTCTATATATATATGTACATATATGGTGTGACACACAGAGTGAAATGGAAACATAAGATTCATATAGCCGACTCCAAATAGTTGGAGAAAAACTTGTTCTTGTTGTATTCCACAAGAGCACCAAAACTAATTGAACTTTGAATTAATATGCAGGTTTGGGAAGATTTACAAGTCCAAGTTGTTTGGCGAGCCAACGATAGTCTCGGCAGATGCTGGACTCAATAAATTCATATTACAAAATGAAGGGAAGTTGTTTGAATGCAGCTATCCAAGAAGTATAGGTGGGATACTAGGAAAATGGTCTATGTTGGTTCTAGTTGGTGACATGCATAGAGACATGAGGCTTATCTCTCTCAACTTCTTGAGCAACACTAGGCTCAAGACTCATCTATTACCAGATGTAGAGAAGCATACCTTGTTGGTACTAAGCTCTTGGAAGGAGAATATCACATTTTGTGCTCAAGATGAAGCCAAGAAGGTATGTATATATATTTCCAAACATATATAGTTTCATACCTAGAATATATATATGTGAAACATATATATACTGTATATATAATATGTGTGTACTGATTTGAGAAGTATATTTTTGTAGTTTACTTTTGATTTGATGGCAAAACAAATCATGAGCTTGGATCCAGGAAAGCCTGAGACTGAGAAGCTGAAGAAAGAGTATGTTACTTTCATGAAAGGAGTGGTATCTGCTCCTTTGAACTTGCCTGGAACTGCATACAGAAAGGCCTTACAGGTGACACAAATATATATATATATATATATATATATATATATATATATATATATATATATATATGAAGGAATTAACTAAAGTTAGTATATGATTATGATTTATATAGTTTTATTTATTTTTGGTTTTTGGATTGACAGTCTCGATCGATCATTCTGAAATTTATTGAGTGTAAAATGGAAGAAAGAAGTCAGAAAATGAGAGAGAGGAGTGAGAATTTGGAGGAAAATGATCTTCTTGGATGGGTGTTGAAGAATTCGGACCTTTTTAAAGAGCAAATTCTTGACTTAGTACTAAGCCTGCTCTTTGCTGGCCATGAAACTTCATCAGTTTCCATAGCTTTAGCTATCTACTTCTTGCAAGATTGTCCAAGTGCTGTTCAACAATTGAGAGTAAGCATCGATCACAGAGTATATGTCGATATATATATATATATATATATCTACACTCTTTTTGCTTGTATAAATAGTCCCAGCATTGATATATTACTGTTACATATGTCCATTGAAATTCAGGAAGAACACATTGAAATAGCCAGAGCCAAGAAACAATCAGGAGATACAGAACTGAATTGGGATGATTACAAAAAGATGGAATTTACCCAATGTGTAAGCTCGCTTAATCATCTATAAATTAACTAAAATTGTGACATATATATATATATATATATATATATGACTATTTTTTAACTTAGATTAGTACAGTACGTTTTTTCAATTGATTGCTAATTTTGTACTATATATATATATGTTTGCGAAGGTTATAAGTGAGACGCTGAGGCTTGGTAATGTGGTGAGGTTTCTTCACAGAAAGGCTGTCAAAGATGTTCGGTACAAAGGTATATGGTTGACTGATAGTAGAGTAAATATGAGTAGGACGGCCGGGAATTCGCCGGAATCTGACCCACCTCCAATTAAAAATATATTTTTTTGTGTGAAGGGTATGACATTCCATGTGGGTGGAAAGTGCTTCCAGTGATTGCAGCCGTGCATTTGGATTCTTCACTTTTTGACCAACCTCAACACTTCAATCCGTGGAGATGGCAGGTCTGTCTATTATTAAGCTTCACATATATGCCTTTAATTCATTTGTCTTTTTCTTTCCATTATTACAGTATTTCATTTTAATATTTCACATTTTACTATATAAAATTAATTTTGGTCCAAATGGTGTCATTTTAATGTATCCATATGGAGTGTAGGTATTGAGTCCATCTCACTAGCTTCTTCATTGTAAATGAATGTTATACCAAAAAGTTTTGTATTCTAACAACAATCTAAATACACATAACACACTATAAAATTTGGTATGATAGAGGTTTTAAATCTAAGTAATAAAAACGGAATGCCAACTAAAATTCTTCTTCGTTACTTCCTCTTTTTAATTTCCTTGTAATTATTGGTTTTCATTACATTGCAAGTCAACATGGATAAACTATTTAGTCTTTAAGGTAGGCCATCTGTTGGTCCACCAAATGAACTGTCGTGATCCATGAACTGTCGTGCTAGATCACACTGTACGGACGAGACCCCCACTATGATGTGATGAACTTGTTGGGCACCTCTCTGTGCGTGTGTGGAAGAATTGGGGGCTCGAGATGATTACAGCCCATGTGACGGTGGGGTTGTCACGTGCACGAGTGCTTTGGTGGGTCAGACCAGAACTCTGAAGGACGGTCGTCCATGAAATTTCGAAATTAAAATTTTCATAAATTATGGAATTTTTTAAAACATAAAAAGATAAGGTGCTATGGTCACAAATGGCTATCCGGTACAGTCAGCAGCCCATGCTACCAAAAAAAAAACAAACAAAATCTCTCAAGGCAGCGTAGTAAAAATGCCATTTCCAATCTCAAAATATTTAAAATTTCATTTTCAGCTGTTACAAACTACGAAGATTTTAATTGTCTAGCTCTAATATATAATGTAATTAATTTTAAATTTGATTCGATCCAAACAACCTAGTTTAAATCTTAATATTTGTCCAGGTTATATAATTTATTTTTTAATTAAAGTTTGACCTCTCCGTTAGAGATTTGAAAATTTTGTACGTCAGTACCTAACAAAAAAACAACAAACACACCATGCGTGTTCTTATGCTAACCTTATTGATAGCTCTTTAGAGATTAAGAATGAAATATGTAACCTATGCAGAGGCGCGCGCGCACACACACATATATAATGAGTATAATTTAGTGAAAGTTATGTGGAGACAGATGGATTATTATCTCAAGTATGCAAGCTTCTCATGCACATAATCAGCTAGCATGCCAAAGCCATTTAGTCCTTCAATAGACAAAACTAGCACGTGACATGCCAAAACCATGAAGCCCATGCTTGAGAACACCTCTAGGCTTTAATATCTTTGATAGTAATTTGTTACTCTTCTTTTGCAGATCAATCATGGCTCTACTTCTACTCGCTCAAACATGACAGCAAGTACTAGCTTCATGCCATTCGGAGGAGGACCGCGACTCTGCGCCGGATCTGAATTGGCCAAATTAGAGATGGCTGTATTCATCCACCATTTAGTCCTCAACTACCACTGGGAGTTAGCCGTTGCTGATCAAGCTTTTGCCTTTCCATTTGTGGACTTTCCAAAAGGCCTCCCCATTAGAGTCCAACGCCGCACTTTCATGTGAAAGCAACACTCTACCACAACTTAAAAATGGACCTCAATATTTAAACAAGCTTATTTGACAGTTTAAGACAGGTTTCATGGATTTTCAAACAGTCTAGTGTAAATTGTTTTGACCGTATCTACTTATATATTCATTAAGGTTGGAAGAGACGAGACAAGATACTAAATATTTTGGTACATATCCGGAGTAGTCATTTCATATAAATTTTATTTCTCCTCTGAAACTTATTTGTATGTTTTTTATTTGTATCACTGTAAACCTTTTGTTTTTGTAATTTAATTTGATTTGATGAGTTTGTTGTAATTTGAATGAGTGAATTAGAAATTTCAATCAGTATTCATTATAATGGAGACTAGTGTTTATTGGACATTCCATAACCCTAATCGCATCAATGATATATATTTTTTTCAATTGTACATCCTCGATCTCCACTTCACTGACCATTGCGATGTCTAACATTCATTTTATTTGTCATGCCACCAAATATTGGTCAAAGAAAATAAACACTAGTCACTCACTGTATTCTTGGTGCAGACAGTGATTGGGTGATTTTATCAGATATCTTTTTGGTGTGAAGGTAACAAAGCTGCTGTTCATTTGGGTTAAGAGACCCCTTCTTCTTTGACAATAGGAATCTATGGACCACCTTTTCCATCTCAAAATAGAGGATCCTTAGGACCCTCTACTAACTAGCCAATACACACTTTCATCAAGTTGAAAACCCCTTCTCTAACAATTACATTCACTTGCCACTGTATTCTGTCCAATTGCCCAATTTTGAGGAATAGATTTCAAAAATAACAAGCGGCAACGAATCAAAGAATGGGAAAACAATTTGAAAATCAGCCTTTGTTATGTTCCCTTTCCCTTACCCCGCAATCCGTAGAGGCTACTCTAAATCAGCATTTACAAATATGAAAGGCTCCAGAATTCTGGCATTGTCACAGCAGAGCATGAAAATAACTCTTTAACGTATGTGTTAAGTTCTGATTTCCCGATGTTTGACACAGTAGCAGGCTATGACTTGAACTTCTGATATGAAAAGGATGGGTAAGAAAGCCAACAACGGAGTAGATACCCCTACATCATTGGGACAAAAGAGAGTGACTCAAGTTTGAGGCCCTCCTGGCCAAACTATCCGCTTAGTGTTTTAAAGGCTGAGGCTTGCCTTTGAGCTAAAAATGGCTATATGCTATGACCAGTCATTTGCTATGATTTTGCATAAGCCTAATCGCGCATTAATGATATTTTTTTTTTCTTCCCTCAGTCCTATACTAAATGTTCAGTTTAGAAATTAAATTTTAAAAGGTGATATGACATTAATGCATTGTCCCCTTTTAAAATTGCTAATTTGTTATTAGTGTTGTTATGTACAGTTACAAGTTTGAAATTTTTTAAAAATATAAACGATAATGATATTAATTTCGAACGTCTAAAAATAAAATAATGAACAACTAATACAAGGCAAAATGATACATTCTCTCTTAGGATTGCACTGTTGGTAATTCCACAAATTAATGATGTCGTCAACTATTTATAGGGCATCCTACTACACTTTTCATACTCTACAAAAATTAATCACAGCATCACCTATTTAGAATCATCCTATTTCATTATTGGTGGATCCACAAATTAACAAGGGCCATCACCTATTTATAGGAATCGCCTCCCTAATTATTAACTGGTAGAATACAATGGATAATTAAGATCTACCGTTTAAATTTTTTTATCTAAATATCTAGTCTATAAAATTTTCTACACTTCTAGAATACTCGTACACTTCCAAATCAGTACTCCAATATTTTATAATCGTCTAACTTTCTATACAATACTCTACAATCTTTTCACAAATGTCAAAACTCTCGAAATCAACTTTACTCATCGTGTAAAGTGCTCCTCTTGCGTGTCCACTGCATTACATAACCTCCTTACAAATAATTAGGATTTGTTCTAGATGCCATTCAAACCTTATTTTATTTTATTTTTAACATGATGCCATTCAAACTTGGTGCACCCATTTTAGACATCATTGTACTGATACATGGTAAGTAAATCCTGGCCGTTGGCATTTAGGAAAATTCTCATTAGTTTTAGCATTTAAGTCAAATTCTATTAAATTAACGGTAAACTATTTACTGTTTCTCAATTTGAGATGAAATAATGTATAATTTACCTTGTTCTTCGTATAATTTTTTTTTTAAAAATTATAAAACTAATATTATTTTAAAATTTTGATAATAAAATTCCAACATGTTTTAGAAAATTCCTACACTTTTAAAAAGTGATCACATTACCCCCAATATCTGTATCCGACCAATTAACTGATCTATGAAATGACAAATTTAACCTTACTAAAATATAAAATTAAAAATTAAAAATTATTTATTTAATTTACAAAGATACCCTTTAATATTCTTCTTACCCTCTCTCTAAAACTCTCACCCCTCTCTCTCAAACATAATTTTTGTAATTTTAAATGGTATTTTTATAATTTAAAAAAATGATTTTTAGTTTTTAATTTAAAATTAAAATGTAAGGTTAAATTTGTCATTTTATAGTCCGATTAACGGGTCTTATAGGGATATTAAGGCAATGTGATCACTTTTTAAAGTGTATGAATTTTCTAAAACAAATTTAAATTTTATGATTAAAATTTGAAAGTAATGAAATTTTATGATTTTGAGATTTATTTATTTATTTTTTTTTTCAAGGATGCATTCAAATATGGTTTAGAGGGGCTAAATTGTTTATATAAATCCAGTGGGCCGGAATCAACAGCCTGTCCAGTCTTGTGATGGTCAGAAAATTGAAAGGCCAACTACCCAAGTTCAATGCACTTAATAGATAGAATCAGAATGTTCCGTCTCTCTCTCTCTGTGGTCACCACCATGTTAGGTTTTCTTTCACTTTCCATTGTGCATGCTTTGGGATGTTCTTCATGGGTTTCTTTTGATATCAGATGTTGACCGACCATGCCCTAACTGCACTCTCTACGTGGTCTGTGGAGCTGCACGTTGTGGATTTAAATGCAAGGATATATCTATCTAATAAAACTCTGACAGGAACTTGAGAGAGATTGGGAGTCATCAACACAAGCTCATTTTGCAGCCCTAAACCCTAAACCCTACGACCTATCTATTTATGTCCAACTAATTTGTGTTATAAATTGCCGACACATATGAGAGACACAAATTGGCATTTTGTGCTATAGATGATTTGTATGTGTGCATGAGTGACCTCTTTACATAGTGATATATTTCTTCTCCTTCCAAACCCGAAATTTAGAGGGTTATATTTTCTCCAAAAGTATTGTAAGAGTTGTTTGTCAAAACAATAAAAATAAAAAATAAAAACTGCTTTTAAATTTATAGGGCTTTCAAATCCATTTGCGCGCATAATTACAAACTCCTGAAGCCTTTAATATATATATATATATATATAAATAATAATAATAATAATAAATAAAAACTCCTGAAGCCTTTAAAGGCTAGGTCTCGTTTTTGGAGGACCAGGATGATATAGGCCTCAAAAGATTGGTGTATATTTGCAGACTGGCTGTGTTGTTGTTCTGGATATGTGTTCTTTAATCTAACTGGGCCTTTGACACCTTGTGTCGCCACTCTAGTCACTGATCAGCCCAAGAGGAGCTTAAATAATAATAATAAACTCTATAATACAGCTTTTTAATCCTATTATTTTTAAGAGTGACATTAGTGTTATTTAAAGAGTTTTTTTAAAAAAAATAAATAAATAATAAACAGGCACTTAGGTTGTTCAATGTTTTTTGCACTTTAGATTAGAAACTATTGTTGTTTTGAATCTTTTGATCTTGACAGTTAAGTTTAATTAAAATCGTAATTTGATTCGACATCCTCAAAGAATTGAAAGGTCTCAACGACGCTTGTCAGTAATATAGTCTGACTTGAATCGGACACAAATGAAATGTTATTATACTACTATGATTTTGACTCAATTCTACTAGTAGGCTCAGACCCATGACCACATGGCTTGAACTCACTGAACCTGGGCTCAAGATGTGTGTAGCATGAAGGGGGAAGAAGATATATCTCAATCTAAACCATTAGACTGGGACACAAATAAAAATGTTATTTTACTACTAATATGATTTAAACTCAATCTAAACCATTAGACTCGGACCTGTGATCACATGGTTTGAACCCAATGAGCCTGGGCTCAAGATGGTGGAAGGGAGAAGACTTGTTATTATATTATTAATATGATTTGGACTATATCCAAACCATTGGGCTCCGACCCATGACCACATGGCTTGAATCCACTGAAATTGGACTCTACATGACTGAAGGGAGAAGAAAATATATCTGACTTGGACCTATGAGCGAGCACATGGCAAATTTGGACTCAATATGACAGAAAAGATACAGAATACATATCCGAAATGTAACTAATTCGCCTATTTTTAACACCGTGACGTGGAATGATTTTTCATGAGTATAATTAGTAAAATATGACACTGAAAAAGTTAAATACATGAGTATAATTTGATTTTTTTTTTAAATACGTTATAAAAATTTAAAAAAAGTAAAAATACGAATATGACTATATATACTTATATAATACATTGAATGGAGTAAAAATTCGGACCAAAAAATACACTATACACATTTTAATATTTTCTTATATAACATATGCTTTGTAATAAAAATTATAAATAAAAATCTATGATTCTCCAAAATTACAAACTTACAGTGTTGTACAGTGTATATATATATATATATATATATATATATATATTAGTAAAAGGAACGTGTCATGTATGTGATGAATGTTTTGTAACTGATATAATTTATATTTTCATATATTTTTATTTTGTATTAGAGTTTTAATAAATATTTTATTTGAATTTTATTAGGTAATAATTTTTATATTTTATTTCAATTTTATTTGGTAATAATTTTTAGAGTTTCTATAATTTGAAATGTATTTTGTGTTAGAGTTTTAATAAATATTTTATTTGAATTTTATTATGTAATAATTTTTATATTTTATTTGTATTTTATTAGGTAATAATTTTTAGAGTTTTGAAATATATTTCGTGTTAGAGTTTTAATAAATATTTTATTTGAATTTTATTAGGTAATAATTTTTAGAGTTTTTATAATTTGAAATATATTTGTGTAGCAAGGCAAAAAGAGACTTATATATAGAGAGAGAATAGATTTTTTTAGAAACAACAAATAGATAAAATAGGTAATTTGAATATTATTAGGTAATAATTTTTAGAGTTTTATAGAAACACTTTTTTTTTTAAAGTTTCTATAATT